GGGGGGCTAAAAGTCAGTCTCCTGACTCGTAACAAGAAGCCATTGGTCCTGTTGCCAGTTTGTCAACTGAAATCTTTACAGTCTCCTGGCTCGTACAAGAAGCCAAACAACCTGCTGCTGGTTAAAGAAACCTAATGCTGCCTGATCCAACTATGTTCGAGCCCACAACAACGTTGAAAATGTCCAACATTTCCTGCTCAAGCTCTGTGTAATTAACTATTGTTATCTCTCTCTGAGTCAAATAAAGTAATTAGAAATTGAATGTATGGTGTTTAATACTAACGAATTAAAAAAAGTTATGTCTGAGCAGTTTTCAAACAATGTGTTAATTGAATGCACAAACTTGTCTGGTGTGTTCTAATGGGATCATGGCCATATGTAACTTATGAGTATAACGGCCATCATCCAATATTATAATGGAATAGTTTTAAACAAGCCATGTCTTTTAATACACCCAGAATATAAACATATATATACATTTTTTTTTAAATATCAGTTCACCAAATAATACACTGCTACATTAGATTAAAACATTATTCACTTATAGTAATTTATAAAAATTATCAAATACAGAATTTATTCTAAATAAACACGCTTCCATTAAAAACAACTAGAAACTGCTCACCGAAGCTAGGTTTTTACACAAGTTGGCATACGTCACACTAAAGCTGGGTTCATCAATAGCCTTTTGAAAAACCAAGTCAATCACACCAATTAATCGATCTTCAGTGTCTATCTGTAACTCAAATATCTTTCTGACTAACGGCTGGAACATCTGTGGTGTAAGCTTGTTTAGTATGCCTTTCAATCGTTTGTACAGTTCCTGAAACATGGAAATTACAACTAAGATATAAAATGGGCTTCAGAAAAATAATTTATGATATATATTTTTAAACCCAAAAAGAAGTATTGCCTTGGTTTATTGTTGAATAAACCTTTGATAAAGTACTATACCACAAAAAGATCATCACCTGAAAAAAATAAACTTTCAGCACAGTTTCCCCATGACTCATTCTGAAGTATAAACAAGTAATGCTTTGAAATTTAAGTTTATTTTATCAGATGCTTTCCATGATAGAGTATATTATATCAAGGAGAAAAAATAATAATAATAATATTAGGTCGTCAAGAAATTAATGTCTTGTTTTGGAACACTTTCATTAACCACCCCCATTTGTGTATAATAGTTAAACGAACCACCTAAACATCACGTTAGTATAGCCTATATAATGTGTAGTTTAGTATATTCTAATCCCTTATAGTGATGGCACACGACGAGACATAT